GAGTGAGTGGGCATTGTAGAAAAAAAAGAGACAAGAACTCACCTTTCAAGAGAGAAAAATAACCTCATAAGGGAGAAAAATCGTGGAGAGGGAAATGAGAATGCCGTAAGGAAGGAAAAAGAAAAGAGAAGAGCGTGAGGAAAAATCGTGGGGAGGGAAAGGGGGAATACCATGAGGACGAAGAAGGAAGGGGGAATTTCGTGAGGAAGGAGAAGGAAAGGAGACACGTAGGGAAAAAACACAGGGCAATGGTAAAAGAAAAAGAAAAAATGTAGAAGTTAAAAAGGAGGGGTATTTTTGTCTTAATTTCTATTTTTTTAGGTTGGAGGTATTAGTTAGAAAAGATGGTTTTTTTAAAAAATAAGTGAGGAAAGTTTATGGTGGCGGTAGAGTGTCTGGAAAATATGTTTTAGGGGGTTTTAAGCAATTTTCCCTAGAAAATATGCAAGAAAGACGACGATTTTGATAGAGGGAGCGTGGCTTCAAAAGCAGAACATGATGGAAAGAGACAGAGAAAATTTAAGATATTATTATTGAGAATCAACGAAAAGTAATAATAAATAATAAATTAGTGAGAATAGGCAAAAATAATAATAATAAAGAATAAATGGGTTAGCTCACAATCGACCAAGTACTATCGATTCTCCTTTCTACAACCAAAAAACATGGATCCGATCTCTATTGTCGACACCATCTCTATGGATCCACCTACAATAGAAAATGCCGATAAAACCACCCAAAATAGGGTGCAATGGTCGCTACGGTTTTGCCCAAAATCTCCAATATTTATCTCAAAAGAGTTCTACCTCATAAGCTCTTCACTTTCTTATGTTTTATATCTCTACAAAGATCTTTTACGGGCCTCCATAAAAGGTTATTTTCTTGTGATAAATATACTCCTAGTTAAAAGGGAAGTACCAAGTGGAAAATGATTTTGTATTACTGTCGTAACAATCTCTACGTTGATGCAAAATCAAATCCTTACTTTGTAATTCATATCCAGTTATTATTTTCTTGAAGAACCTTAGAACTTAGTCAATGTTGTATGTTCTTTAACCCAATAACCGCCATGAGCTTTCCTTGCTCGTCTCCTATATGCTTGTGCTTCTTATGCAAACTCCGCCTTATTTAATACTCTCATCCTTAAGATCTTGAGGCAATACGACCGCCTCGCATACTTTAGAAGCTCATATCCCCCAGATCCTTCGTATAAATTTTTCCCTCAGAGCCTTATTCATGTCCATGTTCTTAGTAATATTTGCCTATACTTCTATCTCTATTTCAAATTTAACATTAGAGTTGTATATAACACTTTAATCACATATGCCTTTCTTTTGCCAAAATTTGATTATTAGTTCGAAGGGAATTCATGAGGTTCTTCTGGTTTCACACCCTCTTGTGAAGGCCCCAAACTTCATTTTCTTTAGCTTGCCAAATATTCTTACCAAGACCTTGTTTTGCATCATCAAGTTCTTCCATTGCCATGCCACGTGTCTCTTGTAGAGCTTCCTCCTCTATAAGAAAATTTACCTTTTCATTTACAATTATGCTCCTTAATATTTGTACAAGCATTTTGAAACTTTGAGTGCTCCACCTTGCCTCGGTAAATTTATAGCCTTCTACATCTAGAGAAGAAAGTGAAATACTCTTCAAGTTTAGCACGTCTTATATTTTCAAGCATCTCAACCATCCCATCATTCATCCAATGTGAATAGAGCGCATTCCAATCATTTTACTAATTGAATTGTTTCTCATTGATGCCAAATCGTTCTCACATGGCTCATATGCATCAAATCATGATATATGTGGCGCATATGATGTATGAGTCCACTATCAAGAGCCCAACTTTGATAGTACATAAAATTGCATCCCACGATCAATGCTTGATCTTCAATGTAACCAAACGTTGATTCTTCAATTTGGTGAGCCTCATTCTTGGCTTGACCTTGTCACTCTATTCCCGAACTGGAACCCTTTGAGGAATTCAACCTTTTTTCGTTTGACAAATTTTTTTTGTAGCCGGGCTTATCACAAAACCAACAATCACTTTTGTCATAAGACCCTCTTGACTTTGATTGGCTACTTGAGCAATCTCTTGATGGACTACCCTGTTCGTCCAGCAGTCCTGTTGCCGCAAGAGCATCCAGCTTTGAATCTATTAATAACTTCTTTTGAATTTCATAGAAAATAAGTGCGCTATAAACTGAATATAATTTGAGGGATTCTTTAATGTTACGACTAAAGATAGTAACAAGATTGTCATAAGACTTTGGTAACAGATATTGCAATGTCATCCATCTTTGCCTCTGATGCTCTCGAGTTGATAAATTATGTTGTGGAATGTGATTCAACACTTTCATGCCATCTATCATCCTCAAATAATACAAATTTTTTATAAGAAAAATCTATTTATGAGGGACACTATTTTTCTAGCTTTGCTCATAAATCTGCTGCCATCTTTTCTCCAACTATATTAAATAGTATTTCATTCGCTAAACATAAGAGAATTGTGGTGAGTGCCTTCCTATCCAATTCTTCCCAATCATCCTCTTTCATATCAATTCTTCCCAATCATCCTCTTTCATACTTTCCAAATTCTTAAATCGTCCTTGTAGTGCTTTATAAAGACCTTGTTGTGCTAATATATCATGAACTTTTATTTTTCAAAGTTCAAAATATCTCCTTCCATCAAACTTCCCTACTTCAAATTTGTAATTAGTCATTTTTTCAAATTACTATACACTTCCCTTGAGCTCTGATACTAGTTATCTAGAACCAAGACTTGCTCAATTACCCCTTGTTGCAGTGAACCTCCCATTATGACAAATCCAATACCTCAAAATCAAATTGCCTATTACCGATGAATTGATTTCAGGAAATCCAAACACCCAAGAACATTATATGGCATAATAAATTGAAAAAATAAATGAAATCAATGAAAGTAAAAATAGGAAAACTAAAACTGCGACAATATACTACAAGCTACAATCCATACACCTTCAACACACAAATATACGTAGTTCACCCTAATCGAGCTACATCCACAAAGCAACTAGCAAGGAAATGGTTATAGATCTACTTGATTGATCATCTCGACATCGAGATGTATGACCATGAAAAATAAAAAGATTAAGTCTCAGAGATAGTGCATTTTACAGCATATTATCTACACCGTCCATTTTCACGATTTTCATATGTTTATAGATCTACTTGATTTTAACCATTCTTGAAATTTAAAATTTTATAATTAGATATAAAAATAGATTTTGAGATAATCCTAAGAACATTTTACATCAAAATTATATACCATGATAAAATTTGAAGGTGCACCTTACCTCTACACCTACGGATGCATCTGTATGACAACTGCACCATTTAGATATACATAGGTTAACCTCATAATCGGTAACGTACCACCAACGTTTCTTTCCATTACCACCAAAAAGAATATTGATCCAACTTCTATGTTTGACACCATCTCCATGAATTTGCATACAATAGAAAATAACGACGAAACCACCTAGAATAGGGCATAATGATAGCTGGGGTTTAGCCCAAAATGCCTAATCTCTACCTCACAAGCAAATGGTAGCTAGGAGTTAGCCCAAAATCCCTAATCTCTACGTCTCAAACGTTTTCTCTCATAAGCTCTACATTTTCTTAAGTTTTCTTTCTCTACAAAGAACTTTTATAAGGCTTCATAAAAATGTTATTTTCTTGCGATAAAAACACTTGAATACCAACTGGGAGGTGATTTTGATTCACCATCCCAACATCCTTTTTTATTTTTCTTTATATCTATAAAAAGATGATCCATTTGAGGATTTTCAAGAATTTGAATGATATTTCCTAATGGTTTTTTGAGGTACAATCTTACTTTCTACAATATAATGTTGATACTTATTTTTTTTCTTTTCTAAAAGATATTTGAATGATATTTTTTGAATTTATAATACATCATATCATGTGTTGATAATCCGAAAAAATAGAGAGAATGATGAAGATATTGCACATAGAATTATAACTGAGTGGGTAAAGTCGAGATGTGCAACCGAGGTTTTATGTAATCGTCGCAATGTAGTAAAATAAAGAAAAGTTTTATACGATATCTGTGAGACCAACTTTAGTTTTATGAGATTGAATGTTGGGTAGTCAAGAAACAACATTATACTCATAAGATGAGTGTAGCTAAGATGAAGATGTTGAAATGGATAAGTGACAAAATAAGAAGAGATAAAACTCAAAATGAATACATTAGAAAAAATTTAGGTGTGGCTCTAACAAGCGATAAGATGGAAAAATGAGACCTAGGCGCACTAGCCATTTGCAACGTAGACTCAGTACCACACCTGTTAGAAAGTGTGAGCTGGTTTTGGAGACCACAAATTAAGTGTGAGGTACAATTATGTTTTCAAAAAGTTTCTATCTTTTTCTAAAAAAGAGAGCAATACACTTTCCTATCTTGTTTAAATTGAGCAAGACATTTTCCTTTCTTGTTCGTATTTCCTTTCTATTAGGTTCAATTGGAAGGCTTAAAAAATAGCAAAAGGTAGGTTCTAAAGGATATGGGTGGAAGTAGTGAAAAAAGATAAAAAGACGTCTCGTTAAGAGTGTGACTTTTGATAGAGTGGAATGACCGAAAATGATTATATAATCAAAATCTCAAATTAGTTGAAAAATGTTTGATGATGATAATGAACACATCCTAAACCTCATCCATTATTAATGCATATTAACTATCTGTTTGAATTTGGTATAAAAAAATCACAATCTCAACCAGTTTGGTATAAGAAAATCATAATCTCAACTAGTCAATTCCATCGGATTGACAAGTTAGATGTAGCATATAAGGGTTAAAAATATTTGTTAACAAATTTGTAATCGTTATTAATCATATACCCCAGCTGTCCGATTTAACATCCAATGGCTGAAACGTTGTACCGAAATTAAATTGTCATAGCTTGGCTTTTCCCTGCATAAAAGTCTCGTAAAACCGTGAATCTCTTGAGGTCTGGGTGAAGCAGCAAAGAGAGAGAGATCAGGAAAAACTGAAGCTCCATGCATGCTCGCGTCTCTCGCTGTGCCCCAAACCTTCTCTCTCTATCTATAAACCACAATGAAACTCTCCCTTTCTCTCTCCTCTCCCCGTTTCCTCATGGCGCGCTTCCTCTCCTCAGCCCCAGTCTTCACAACACTCCCCTCCCCTTCCTGCAAATTCCGGCCAATTTTTCGGCCCAATTCTGTCGGACTTTTCCATTCCGGCGTCTTTTCTTGCCCTTATTCGGGCGGCTTCAGGCAAAGGACGGGCTTTGAGGGTTATTTTGCTTCGGTCCGAGGGTTTAGAAAATTGAGGAGAAGGCCACACGCGTGGAAACAGTCCCCGAAAGTGAAGAAATTGGAGTTGCATGTTCGCATTTGTATTGAAGAGGAGTTGCCTGATGATCCTGAAGTTTTGGTATTTCTTTTATGGCCGTGTTTCTTCTTATTACTTGATTATTATTGTTGTCTTTATTGTTAATGTTGTTATTATCATGGTTGGTTAATCTTGTTACTACTATTGTAAATTTTGCTTGGTTATTTGTTATTCCTTTGATATATATATATATATATATATATATATATTTTGCTTATTGAAGTTGAGTTTTCCAAGTATATGATACAATTCCACTCACAATGATTCACATTGGACTTCTTCTTGTTTTTTTGTTTTTTGTTTCTAATGTTGTTTCCTTTTTAAGTGGTCATTGTTATTTGGGTTTCTTTTGATTTTATTGCATTGGCAGATTTATATTGTTTGATTCTTGACCCGGTCATTACTCTGTTACAGAAGTTGGTAAATTTTTTGTTTTTGAGCGTGATAGTTATGAACCTGATTAGGTTGTTTGCTTTACATTTTTCCTCCTCCTAAATTAAGTTTTTTGTTCGTAGTTAAGCTTTCTATTGTTGAAACAGTGGAATTATGTGCGATGTTCGATAACAATAAAAAATGAAGCTTGTGCGGATACTATACTGGTTTATTTTTTGACTTGACAACCCTAGTACATTCGTTAATGTCATCATCTCCACAGTATCATTAATATCAACAATAGAATTGTTGATATCATATCGCTTCTCAAAAACATTTCTCTTGATGTCAATAACGGCAATACGATGACCTTAAGGCTTGCCATCCAGGTACCTGTTTAGAGTCATAATGAGGTTACCCGGGTGATGCATATACAACGATCTATTCTTCAGGACATAGTGCAATTATTATTGATACAATGGAATCTAGTGTGATACTTTTTACTACTCGGTTTAACATATTTAAAAAAGAAGAAGTTAAGAAATTGCCACATTGTATCAAGATCCAAGTTGACCTATCATACTCAAGTTGACCTATATCTGTTGGGATGAGTTGGAGCTCTTGATTTGCAGGCAGGACTGGTGAATATAAGCATGGCAGTAAAATAGGCATCAGTTTTTTGTCATTGCTGGTTGGGCATAGCTTGCCCCTTTATTTTGCATCTCTGTTAGTTGGATGCTTCAAAACAGCAAAGCGTATGTTGTGTCCAGCAACGGATGGACATCAGCATCCCTTGGACACTTGTGTATGGCTTGAGTAGATGTGTCCACCCATATTTTGGAAATTGGGGTCTAGCTCTCCAATTATGACTTCTACTTTAAAAAAAACACTTGCATAAGTTCCCTTCGGAAAAAAAGAAATCAAATAACTTAATGAAAAGGGAATGTTAAAAAAATTAAAATAACTACAAATGAAGGAAGAAAGCCTTATTGGTAAAAACTGCAGGCAGCCCTTGGTAGTTGTGATCGAATGTGCAATGATGCATAAGCGTCTTCCAAATCCATCAAAAGGGGTTCCATTGTACATTTGTTGGAAAGTTTATTTGAAGGGATTAACATATCACTTTGGCCTAGCTGGGAAAGGCCGTGATGATGATGATGATGATGATGCTGATGATTGGTCTTGTTCATTTCTAACACCAGGATTCAAAGTTTATGCTGTGGATATAACAAAGTTTAAATGATCCATACGTCACTTATTTTAGTAGTTGACTATTTCAACAAAAGCATTTGCAGAGTGTTTTTTCCCAAGAACTAGATGCTCTTAAAGAATGTACTGGTAAAACTTCTCAATTTTGGGAAGCAGGAGCGCTGCAAAATGTAGTTTCAATGTGCATGTAAAACATATTTTTGAAGTCTAGGTAGAATGTTATTCAGTAAATTCCAAGCAAGGAAATTTTCTGAAACTTTGTTTACTGCATGAGATTTTTAAGTGTACATGGCTACTACTTGACCAACTTATATAGTGCATCCATGAAACTTGCCATTCTTGACCGTCTTTTGGCACAGCTTTTCAGCTTGAACTTCCCCTGCTGCTATCTTTTTGTCATTACCTTGTATTTTTCATGATCTAACCCCATGCGTTCTTCCCAAATCTTAAAGGAAAGAAAACCTTCTGAGGATTGAAGCATGGGGTATGTGCTTCAAGAAACTCATCCATTCTTATGTTTTCACTCATGCAACCTCCAACACACCATTTCAAAAGCTTTTAAGTCTTTGAATTCGGGTTTTGGCTCTTCGCCTGTTGGTTAGGGGCTTGAGGACATCGACAGTCACAGCACATCATCCAAGGTTCATATCCCTCTGCTAACCTACCCAAGAAGATGCCTTTGAAGATGTCTATATCTTGATTTTGGAAGGCATATGTTTTGTCTCTTTTATTCATATTTTAATATACCCGAACAATGTTTATTTGCATAATTTTTTTCTTATTCTTTATCATTTTTTCTTTTTCTTTTCTAGATTAGTAGCCATTCTTAGAAGATCTTGGTTACTGATTTTACGTAGCCCACAAGATACTGGAGCCTCATGCCATTAGAATATCAAGGAATCCTTGCGTAATACAAGTGCTTGCTAACTAATTTAGAATGTACTATCATGGGGTTTTTGTCTTGAGTTTTGAATAGATTGGTTTGATGCCTTCAGCAAACAAATGTTTTTTTTACGAACACTTTGTAAAGTGTTTTATATGTGGTACGGACACTTTGTAGGTGCCAGTTCATGAGTAACTTTTCTACGTCCCTCTATGAATTCGTTTTGGCCGATGCATCTTACGTTTTCCTCCAATTTTCTGAAATACATATAAATAATTATCAAAAGTTCTTCTCAAATCTTCTAAATTACATATAAACTAATGGTTAAACTTTAAGTGCCTTTGCTAATTCGTGTCACTATAAAACTGATCTTTTTTTTAAGAAGAATTTATGCATATTATCTTCAAATTCTCCATTAGTTTGATTATTGGCTGCGCATATTGAATGCCTTAATTGTTGCCCTTAACATCATCCAAAGGCCAAAGGTTATGTGATTGATGCTCTTAACATCATCCATTGCCTGCAGAATTTTGTATTGACATCCATCACTACTCCCTGCACAGGTTGCATCAACTTGTTTTCACTTTCATATTTCAATATAGATATGGCATAATTTGTTTCCCAAGTGATCAATTTTATTTATTTATTTTGTTTTTCTGTACAGAGCACAGCAGAAATACTTCGCCTGAATGTTCCCATGGCAATGAAAATTGCATTTGATGGTCTAAAAGATTCAGAATACAAGACAAGAGACAAAGCAATTGATGATGTTGGTGGCTTTGAAAAGGTGGAACTATCTGTTTTGTTATGCAATGATGTTTTTATTCGAGAACTCAACAAAGAATGGCGAGATGAGGACCATGCTACTGATGTCCTCTCTATGTCACAGCATATTCCTGGATTTGATCTACCTATTGTAAGGATTTTCTATGCCAAAACGTAAATCCCTTGTTCCGTGTTTGTTTTATGTATATTACATTTACGGTTTAGCTCACATACATTTAGTCCACAGCTCATGCTAGGGGACATTGTGATTTCTGTTGAGACAGCTGCAAGGCAAGCAGAAGAAAGAGGACATACTCTACTTGATGAGATACGCATCCTTCTGGTTAGTTAAGCATTCAAGTTGTGACTATTTTGTTGTTTTTATTGTTTTTATAGGTTTCACAAACAGTTAATTATGTTTGGTATATAATTTTTTGGGGGGCAGAATAGAAGGTTTTGGTGTATAGAGGCTCAAACTGTCCACCTTGGTATCACTCTTTTATCTATTAGACTAAATGCTGGGCTGACCAAAATCGTTTGGGCATTTCTTGACATCTAAATCTAAGACATTACATTATGATTCAACTATTTTCAAGCTCCCATGTACCTTTATTATTCTACTATTTTGGAAATGGAAGGGGCCAAAATATACACATATATTTCTCTCAAATCTTCCCACAGCTGTGTTTTGGTATCTTACTTCACTAAATGTAGGACATCAAAAGTTTACTCTTACTTTTTTCATGTATACATGGTTCAATTTGACACATTCTTAGCTCAGGTTCATGGATTGCTGCATCTTTTGGGATTTGATCATGAGCTAAGTGATGAGGCTGAGGCAGAAATGGAAAAAGAGGAAGAACTTATATTGAAAAGTCTTGGGTGGAAAGGAAAAGGCCTAATCCACAGTGCTTATGATGCTTTAACAAATGAAATCCCAGAAACTGAAAATAATGATGGTAATTGAGGCAGCATATTTTCTTCTGTGTTAATGTTATTCCCATTTCTTTGGCCTTGAGACTTCCAATTGGTTGTGTTTTGTTCTTCCATTTCATCTGAGGCATAAAAAGTTACCAATGAAAATGGCAGTTTAAAATTTTTTTGCAGGTCATGCTTTGAAGGAAGGGAGAAAAGAAGGCAGCTTACGGTTTTATAAACCCAAGTTCAATTATATTTTTTGCGACATGGATGGTGAGCTCTGCAACTTTTGTGTAATTGTTAATATATGTTTCTTACATATGAAAGTTAACTGCATTTGTGTGCTTGCTAGGTACATTGCTAAACAGCAAGAGTCGAGTTACTCATAGAACTGCAGAAGCTCTGAAGGAGGTGGTCTCAAGAGGAGTAAGAGTAGTGATTGCTACTGGAAAGGTTTACTCTCGCATGCTACTTTTGATATAGTGCTAATTATTTTCCTCTCCATAGAAAGAGTTTCTGTGTTTGAAGTTTTGGGTTTTATATAATATTATGAGAATATTTACAGTTGTAACAATAAATCATGTTCCCCTATCTGGTGTTGGATTTTGATGTTGATATTAGAACAAATGTTTTCTAATTTAAAAGGTTTACTATATTGTTTCGGACAGACTCGACCTGCAGTTATAAATGCTTTGAAGTTGGTGAATTTAGCCGGAAAGGATGGAATTATTTCTCAATTTTCACCAGGAGTTTTCTTACAGGTTAGTATGTCCATTTTTTTGCAATTCTCTCTATACTCTTCTCATTCCTGACTTATCCTCCTTATATTATGCCCATGAAATTTATAAGCTTTTGCATCATTGAGGGTGTCTTATTCAACATTATCTTGTGAGGTGAGGGAGATTGTTGCCCTGTGGATATTGAGCAGTTTCTTTGACAAAGGTTTTTATTTGATTGAGAAAAGGAATGTTATAGATTCCCATCATGTGTTCATGGAATCTAATATTCCCATAGCTGATAGTTTGGCCAACATTTATGGGTTTGTTGGGATTAGAGTCATGGATTGTTGAACCTTTGGTCACCATGATGCATGTATGGTACACACAAAGAATGGTTGGGTGGCATCAGGAGTTTGAGTTACTACATATGTAGGCATGCTTTCATGTGACACTTCACCTTCTCGAGAGATAGTGGTGTGATGCAAAGGTTGTGGATCTGGTGTTCCGGTCAAAGGTCTAGTCTAGCATCTTGTGGGATGGGAGGCTTTGAAATGCAAAGGTGGATGAAGAATGAGGGATTTGTGAGGAGGTGGACAGTTAACTTTTGCAATCGAGGTAGTGGCACCATTTATGAAAAAAAGAAAAACAAAAAAGGAACAAATTTTTTTCGCGTGAGTAGATATTGTCGGGTTTGAGGGAGTGGCCGTATCAATTGTTCTAGGTTGGATTGTTGTTCCTCTTTATCAAAAGGGATTGAGGTATCCGTTAGGCTCTTTGAAGGGCATTCCGGTGGCTAGTGGCTGTTTTTCTTAGAATTTTAGGGGTGTTAGAGAGGATAGCTCAATGTACAAGCCATATATGGTTGGTGCATAGGTTATAGAAGCTACCTACGGCTAACATCTTTGTGGCCAATTTTCTTTTGGGCATTATGGTTAAATTAATATTTAGTGTAGAATCTGTAGATAGTGTAGAATCTGTATATTATCTCAATGCTGCCATTCACAGAGCTGCATGGGAGTGTAGACATTATTAAACCCATCTTGGGGGAAGGTTGTGAAGGTCTAGTCTCTATATAGTGGGCTCCATAGAGGCTTGTTTATGGGTGGAATTTCCATTGATAGTACTTTTGGTTGTCAGCCTTATGGTTAATTGTAGAAGCATCAATCAGGTGAGTGGTCCGCCCAATGGCCCCTAGTGGGAATCCATTTGCTCTGGAAGGGATCCTAGAGGTTGTTGTATATTCTTAGAAAAACAACTTGTTTATAAAGAAATCTATGATTTGGCTGATGGGTTGGTAATGATCATGTATCGGACTTGGGCTTGATTGCTTGGCAGTTGGCATTAGCAATACTACATCACAAATTCAATTCCTAGCACTGAACTATCCAAAAAGAGAGAATCAGGATTCTGTATTGATATCCGTGTCATCTTTGGAACATGTCTTATTATTGTACAGATTGTAAGGCTTCTCTTTTAAGTAATAAACATTGATCAGGAAATAATTAATTAGCATTAAAATGCTTATATTTTGGATCCAACGATTTTAGTTTGGCAATAGGTCCATCATATTTCTAATAGTAACAACCTTGACAAACTGTGACCACAGGAGAAAATTTTCCTTTAGAAGTTTGGCATGAATAGAATCAGTGTTGGGGTATGAGCATGTGCCATAGGTGATCAAGAATTAAGATTTCCGTTTGCTTTCTTCCAGAGAGTGAGAAGAGTTATCTTCCTTTCTTTTTTCCAAAGTACTTGCATACTTAACTCATCTGTTGTTAATATTTTAGGACTTTGAATCACTATAACTGGAATAATGAAGCATATCAGCAACTTCTGTCTCAGTAGTGGTGCACACATGTGGAAGAGAAATATGAGGAGGCCACTTTATTTATTTATTTATTTATTTTATCTTTGGGTAAATCAGCGAGGGAGGGATCCCCCTGGTAGGAATGGAACTTAAGACATCATGTTCTGGTATCTCACCCTGACCACCTATGCCTAAAAACTTTCAAAATTGGAAGAAACAGCTAGATGGACTCTTCTTTTCATTATTCAGTTTACCAGTTTATTAATCAGGTATAACTTATGTAACGATCAATTTCCCTTGATTATTTCTAGAATGATGTGATGCAGTTCTGCAGATGATTTCCGGACAACTAAACCTAAGAACTACTAGGAAAAGGAATATGTACATTTCAAGTCCAGTATCTATTAGAAACTGGGCTTGGGCTTGATTGGTTGAGGTGCTAATTGTTGATCATTGCAACACAACATCCGAGTTCAAAGCCCACTACTGAAATACCCAGAAGAAAAAAAAAAGGTCCAGTACTTATGGGATAGTCTTATTAGATGCCACGAGAGCTAGTTTTATTTCTCTTTATGTATCTTTATTTTAGCCCCACATTGAAAAGGCTATGATGATGACGATGATGATGATTTTAGCCCCACGATGCTTGCCTTATATCTCTATAGGTACTGCCATATTGGATACTCTACTATGTACAAGTATGGTATTTGGGTTACATAGACATGCTCAATCCATACTTCCATGGATGGTGGAGTTGAGTTACTCTTCCTGCTAAAGAGCATGGTAGTTATAAAAGTGGGTAGCAAATCACCACCCATCATCCTTGGATAGTCAATGGTGGATGTTGGGTCTGAGTACCCTATTCCATCCTCGTATCAAATATGGATATTTTCCCATATCTATAAACACAAATCTATTTATGCGAATATAACTCGAAGTCTTGCCTTGTTTGTTTCTCCTATTAATGCAAATCACTAGTATGTGTCCATCTTTGTCAGTGTAACTTTTATGTTGATATTTTTTACTCTCAGAACATGACAGGATTATTTTATTTGCTGGCTTTGTATTGCAGGGTTTGCTTGTATATGGGCGACAAGGTAGGGAAATTTTTAGAAGAACTTTGGATCCGGATGTTTGTAGGGAGGTAAAATGCTTATTACAATGAATGCTTTCTTTTGAAATTAAAATTATAGAATTCATATTTAAAATAAGTTTCCTTGAGACTATAACAGTGATGCGACATAGCTGCGAAATTGATGATTATTTTGATTGAGCTGTGCTCTTTCATGCACGTGATTCTGGTCTAATGGCCCAGATTGCCTTGAACAATGGATCTTTAACGCTTTAGATGCACTAACTGTATTCCTGAGGATTCATTATGAAATAATGTGATTGAATCGATTGACATGATAAATGCAAGAATTAAAATTTCAAGTGGGATAAAAGGATGCAAAATTTCTTTTCAATTTCTCCCATGCATTTATAATGATTTTTGTTGTAAGATCGTTTTGAGCCCACAGTTCTTTTAGATATTCTTCTTGAACTTCGAGTTGCTTAGTCCTAATAATATGTGCCTTAAATTGATAGATGATATGCGTCAATTTTGATGCCTTTTAATATCTAAATTTTATTCTTATATGGATTTAGTCAAGTGTTATAAATGATTGGTCTAATAAGGGTGAGGACCTTAAACTTTCCTTAAACCTATCCCAAGCCTGGGTAATGGAGGCGGTTGCGTTAGGTAGGCAGACAATGTAAAACCTTACCACAGCTTATCATGAATCTTGAACCTATATTATTGGAGGAATATGATTCATGTAACCGATCACAATTAATTGGGATGAGGCTTGGATGATGATGTTGTGATATCTTTTTGACATACATCGAAGGCATTTTAGATATTTAGTTTGTCCATAAGTTGGTTAGTGTGGCTCAAAATTGCATAACTTCCTACGTGATTGCAGGCATTTCTTTATTCTTTGGAGCATAAAGTTCCTCTTATTGGGTTTAGCCAAGATCGTTGTGTTACCTTGTTTGATCATCCTCTGATCGATTCTCTTCATACTGTTTATTTCGAGCCAAAGGTACTTTCTGTTCATATTTAGTAAATGTTGTAAATGCTGGAAAGCTTCTCTAATTTTCCACTTCTCTAATCATGAGGTTTTTCTATCTCTATTTTTGCACCATTTTCATCTTTTCAAGCATCTAATACCACTTATGTGCCATAATTTTGTCTTAAATATGATATTTCTTCTTGCAGGCAGAAGTCATGCCTTCTGTTGAGAAACTTTTAGCTACTGTGGACATTCAGGTATCCATTGGTTCATTGATAGCGTGTTCTTTGGTTCAAGATAGGAGAAGGGAACTCTTAATGTGATCTCTCTCATTCTCTCTCTCTCTCCCCCCTCCCCTGTCGCTCCCTCCCTTGCTACAGGATTTAGAAAAAAAATACAGAGATAGCAAGAGACCTACTTATGTGTTTGCCATTCTTAACATATCTTCATAATTTTATTTTTTTCTAAACAAAAAATTGTAGTCGCAGTTTGACTAGGCATTAGCTTGGACATAATGTACATCCTAGTTTGAGTTTTAAAACTTGGCTATACTCTATGATTGAACTGTATTTTCTCTCTCTCCACATTCTTCTCTTTCCAACACTGGGTTGGTATGACCCATTCTTGCGTATAACCATTACCCTAATAACTTAAGATCATTTTATTTACTTATTTATTTATGTGTTTGGTTTATATCCTTGATAGCATTTTATGGTTTCAGAAATTGATTTTCATAGACACGACCGAGGGGGTTGCTGCCACTCTAAGACCATATTGGGCTGAAGTTGTGAAAGGGAGAGCTGGTGTTGTCCAGGCCCAAGCTGACATGCTTGAGATTGTTCCGCCTTCTACTTCTAAGGGCGATGGAGTACGAATGCTCTTGGATCACCTTGGGATCACTCCAAAAGAGGTCTAGTGCCTTGAGTTGTTCAGAAGGCATGCAATCCAGTGGACTATGACGTGTTATTCCACATTTCCACTATTGCTGCATCCACTGTCCACTCCCACTGAGGCATTGTTGGAGATTAACTCTACCCGTATGAATATCGTTGTGGTATCCACTCCAGTTTAATCTCCAAGCATCCATCAAGGAGAAGGGACAGTGTATGTAGCCTTGGAATACCATAAACCAATGCCCATTGGACTATGATATAAGTAGCATTGGACTATGATATAAGTAGCCCTAGTTTTTTACATTATAGGCCATGCTTATGCCTTAAAGATGGCATCTTTTCTGTCAGTTTGAAATTTTGCTGAATTATAGCAGGAATGAGGTGTCTACTTGTGCTAACCCTGGCTAAATATATCACTAATTTTCAGACAATCTTGGAGAAGTATTGTGAGATTTAAAGGGAAAATTATATTTTCTTTGATACCATATTTTTCCAATGTTTGCTGCTGTTCTATTTGGGGAAAGCATTAAAAAGTTATAAAAGTATAAAGAATAATAAAACTATTGGTATAGGGAATACTAAGTTATAAAGAGAAAGGAAAATATGATCCTTTTTCTTTTAAGTTCTGTAATTTGATATTGCAGTTTTTCCAAAACTTTTCTCCTATCTTTTGGGTAAATGTCCTGAGAAATCGCCTCACCAAGACTGGGTTTCCTACCTATCTATGACTTTCCCACATAATCTTCTATTGAGCATCAGCTGGTTACAATTCTCTCTTTTAAAAATAACCAAAATACCCTTAGTAATCTAGACAAGTTTCACTCAACAACATTAGAAATACTGAAGCACAAAGACCAATAGTTCTGTAATGTCATTCATGACACCAAGATTAGTCAACCATCATATAATGTCTTTAGTATCCAAATTCTTGTTATTTCATTTTCTATTTGCGTATGATATGTTTTATGTACTTTATGCTTGTTTGGCATCGAAGCTATAACTGTTATTTTCTGTCATTCATTTAGGTCATGGCGATTGGTGATGGTGAGAATGATGTTGAGATGCTACAACTTGCATCTTTAGGGGTTGCGCTAGAGAATGGTTCAGAGAAGGCAAAAGCTGTTGCTGATGTGATTGGCAATAGCAACGATGAGGATGGTGTGGCGGATGCCATATATCGGTTTGCTTTCTAGCAAGAAAACTCTCAGTCACATACGATTGCGAAGTTCAATGTTGATTTATGAGGAAGTAGAAAAAGATTATTCAAAAGGGACCAAAAGAACAAGATAGTGTGATCGAAGTTTGGAGAGTGGAACTCTGATGATTTTGAATCTAGGGAAATTGGGGTGATTGGCAATCATGGAATTTAAAAACTTGATGTAGCTTATATAGGGGGGAGTATGTTTATCATGATTATGGGCAAAGACAGCAATATTTAGTCAATTTTTAATGGGATTTTCTCCTAAATATACTGAGAAAGAATTGTCATTATTTTGGGGTGGCACCAGGACTCAAGAATTGGTAGAGATTTGAAATTCATTTTGCCCATGCTGAGAAAGTGAGTATGGGCCCTTCTGAGCTGGTGCTTTTAACTTTATATCATGTTAATGTGAGTTGCAGGTGCTTAACAATTTGGGATATTCACATGTGTACTCTGCTAGTACAGTGTTGCCCTTTAAATTACTAGTCATATGAGAGTATAGGACCTAAGGACTCTAAGGAAGTATCTTTGGAAATTCCCTATCCTTGTTTGCCTTCTCCTTTCTACTTCCTTTTTCCTGTTTCTGAGAGTATAGGACCTAAGGATTATAAGGAAATATCCTGGGGAAATCCCTAGCCTTTTTTCCGTTTTTCTTTTGTCCTTTTTACTTCCATTTTATTTCCCCTACAACATAGAAGTTCTATGTTCCTTTTTATCCAATCTTCTATTTTTTAATGGAGGGTTAAGATTGCCCCAATCACAATGTCACGTCTGTACACTATTTTATTTTTAATTTTTTTTTTATAAATTGTTTTGGCACCAAATTTTGGACTCCATTCATAATTTAAACTCGCACTAACATAAAATATAAAATACCTCTAAAAATTTTAAGGGGTATTTTGGTTATTATTTTTTATCGAAAAATTATTGTTAATATTTTTTATAGGTGCGCCCCAATGAGAAGATGGCACGAACCAAATTTTCATATCTAAAAGAGTTGTATTAAAAAAACTAAAAATAAAATACTTTGAGATGTCCGATTTAAGATCAAAAGGTGAGTGGTTTTTGATAAAAAATAAACGGCTGGATGGTAAGGGGAACATAGAACTTTATATTGTAGGGGGAACATAGAAACTTTTTCCTCTTTTCCTTTTCCTGTATCTGGTCGAATGACGAATTTAAAAAAAAAAACCCGAAATTAGGGCGCTGTTATTTGTAGCAATCTATTTATGATCATGGACCTGGTAATGCTCTATGTGCAGTTGTTGGACCTCTTATTGTTTGATGCTCCAGGCTCAAATTTGAACCTGCTGCATGCGCGTGAGAGAGAACAGTAATGTAGACCAGTAATCTCTTCGAGTTTCTCAAAATTGGTGCGGTGATAGGACAGGTGACTGATTCCTATGTGGCTCGGTCAGCTTGGTGAGTTTAGGGATGTCCATGCAGATCCGGAAAACAGAAAAAATAACAGAAGAAAGTTAAAAAAAAAAAAAAAGAGAAAAAGCAAAGAAAAAAATCTATTAAAAAAAACCTAAGTTAAACTAATCTATTAAAAAAACCTAAGTTAAACTTCTTTTTTCACTTTTGGTTTGCCATGAAGCAGTTTTAAGCCATCCGAGTTTTGGTTCCTTTGCAAGTATGTTGCCCATGACCTTATTACTGCAACATTCTCACAGTTATTGCAAAACCAAAAAACAAAAACAAAACAACAAAATACATGCCATGAGAATTGCCCAAGATGACCTGGGTCGTGATACATCTGGCATCGAATCTCCTATCGTCTATGGTACATGATACATCTGGCATCGAATCTCCTATCGTCTCCGTCATCGAATCTCCTATCATCTATGGTACGTGATACATCTGGCATCGAATCTCCTATCGTCTCCGGCATCGAATCTCGTATTGTCTATGGTACATGATAACTCGGGCAAAAGTCCTTTCCATAACTCTAAACATCTCAATAAACCTTGCGGGATGTGACCCTTGGGGTTCTGCTTTTCTCTGGAGTTTCAATCTTCTATCTTTCTCGTATCATGCAACCCATGAAGATCTTGTCTTCTCTTTCCCACTCCAAGGGATCATTTGAGGCATTCCCATAAAGAATGCCTTTAGTTTCACACGTGCAGCTGCAGCTATCGAACTTGTTTCTCTTCTTTTGCGTCTCGAGCAAATTGCAGAGAGCACCTTTCTCTACCTCGAACTTGCAGCAGCCTTAGAGACATCCCCTTTCTTTTTAGCTTAAGTGGATAGCCTTATCGGAAAACTCCTTTGTTTTCTTTTGAATCTGATTGTTTTTTTTTTTTTTTCATGTATGTAGCTTTGTGTTAGAGTTGGGGCTCAAACTGAAGCTTTGCTTTGCGAAGAATTAAAAAATCTGTAGGGTGAGAGAGGCATGAGATATCTGTCATTCATTCCTCACATCCGCCCCGCGCCATTATGATTTTGAGAATGATATTGCACCTTTATCCTTAGTTGACATTACCCCACAATCTTTCCAATTCCAATCCATGTAGGATTCCAATTCGTTTTCCATAATTATTCAAGGATTCAGAAAATAATTATGGATCTTTATTCTTTATGGGGCATATATCTTCAAGTCCAAATATAATTTGATGTTGATGTGGGACCCATGGCCAATGGCTTTATGTCATCCACCTTGGATTTGGTTACACATGGGCACAATGGCCAGTGGGCCCAGGTGATCTTCAGAGTGATAGCGTGGCAAAAAGTATGCATCCAATGTCCCCTACATTCTATGTGAAAAGACTTTCTCCAGTTTTGGGAGGATACTATCCATTTCCTCCTTCGGCTAAAACACATGCTATAGCTACCTTTTGGATCTCAATTTTTGAGATATAATCTTTACGATTCATAAAATAATCTCGGTAAAAAAAAAAAAGTTCAGAATAATATCTCTATCTACTAGAAAAATCTTATGCCTCTATATAAAATAAAAACCGTCCAGTTTTTTAATCACTAGATCTAAGTGTTACAAAACTTCCAAACTTTCTTTTCTAGTAATTTTGATGTGTTTCTCAAAACAGTAGCCTAAAAAAATTCTCCTAAGTAGGTGTTTTGAGCGAGGGAAGTAATTTTTATGTGTTTCTCAAAACTTTAGCCTAAGAAAATTCTCCTAATATATGCACTCAAATTCTATATGTTCGGCGTTCTCTTTATTTTCCATAAAATAAATTTATTTTTTCAAAATAATCCCTTGAAAGAAAAAAATACAATTTCAAAATCAATCTCAGCTTTTTCTCTTTTTTTGGGTAATTTAGTGGGGAAGATAGACATCCACTCTCCCTTTTTATATAGATTAGGGAGTTAGCTTTTTTGAACTTGTCAGTGGGTGGTGTTAGCAGGATTGGAAACCATAGCTTTCAAGGTGATTGATTGAAGAAAAAAAAAAAAAATCTATACCTCTTCACCCTTTTTATATAGATTAGGGAGTTAGCTTTTTTGAACTTGTCGGTGGGTGGTGTTAGCAGGATTGGAAACCATAGCTTTCAAGGTGATTGATTGAGAAAAAAAAAAAAAAATCTATACCTCTTCAGAAAAGCTCCTGGGAAAAACTTGAAAGATGAATCATGTTGTGGGAGAAGGCATCCAGTTATCCATTTCACTAGTACTGTAATTACACTCTATCTTTCCAAACTAACTCAGTAAAGTCCATAATTTACAATCTCTCTTGTAGGGCCTCATACTTGACCTATCAAGACTAGGCCACCTTGGATTCCAAGTATACCCCAAGGATAAGTCATGTGATTCCTCGGCATGCACAATAACTTTGGCTACTTTGTGTGGAAATCCTCTCTTAGTACATGTACATGCAGACTACATAGGTCTATTTTCCAAAAATGCAACCATCATTCATGCATATGCCGCAAGGGTGCTATCAATGAGAATTTGACCATTGCCCTCGCAAACCTCCAACCCTCACAAAGGGATGTCCTTTTCCTCTACCTAAACTCTTCACCATTGAGTTGACTTTGAGCTTGACAAGACATGACCCGTTAATCCTGAGTACTTATGATGTATTGGGTCTCATACCCCTCAAGGTGCAAGGTCCAAGATTTTTTTTCTCAATCAACCCTGAGCCTAGACCTGTAAACCTAGTGTGAACTAGTGACACTCATGCATCTGGCTTTAAGGTGTATTTCATAAATAGAGCTCCTTGGTCATGCATAGAGCCCTTGAAGGCTTGTCATAAACTTCCTCTCTTTTATTTTTTTAATTACATGAGTGACTACATGGGTCATGTCATGCCAAAAGAGTGAAAATATATAAATGAACTATTTACTTTAGTACAAGGCGGTCACAATCACTATTGTCCATCAGATTTCAAATCAAGTAGTTGTAAGAATGTCACTAACTAGACACAGTATTTAAAAGTAAATAAAAAATAAAAAAATTGAATTTTGTGACACACCCCAAGCATGTAATTATGACGTTCTTGTAACAAAGATAAATGGTCTCATAGCATATGATCCCATAAAAAATTAATGCTTTTAAAGTCTACAAAACCCATCACATTAAGGGCATTGTTAAATACTCAAAAAGTCTTGATATTGGTCCACTGCTTTAAAAAAAAAAGAAAAATCTTGATATTGGTCCACTTGTTCATACTGCCCTTTGAATAATTAGCGAGTTCGAGATAGACCTATTGTGTAGTTTAGTGCTTGTGTCATTGAACCCACAGACATGCGCCACATAGGGCACATAAGTGCATGACTCATTAACCTAGTTCATGCTCTCCATTATTGGGAATTAGAGAGGTCAAGAGCCTTTTCATTTACATCGCCATTGAATTCTTGGGCATTTGAGTTTTGGCAATCCTCCATTGAAATTAGAGGGTTGCGAAACTTTGATCAGAAGGGCCAATTTGGATGACATTTTATTTTATCTAGAATATGTTCTTATCTAAAATTAATACATTGTAGATAAAGTTCTTTTTGTTAATTGTTTGGTATATATCGTATATTATGTATAATATATCTTAAATAATTAAACTTCTTAGTGATTTCTTGTTATTTTGAGCTATTTTTAACCAAGAATATGTGATGCTCAAAATGATACAGGATTCCATATTGACTTTGGAAATCCAAACCCAATGGGCAGATTTTGAGTTAATTTTGGGCTAGCAACAGGCTGGGCCTGCGCCGGGTCAGCCTTGGCCCTAGCCTGACCCTAGTCCCTACCGCCAGCCTAACCCGAACAGTGTCTAAAGAGGCCTTTCGCTTGTCAGGGCCGGGCCAAGCCAAATAGAATAAATGAAAACAAAAGGACAAAAAAAAAAGGGGCCTTGCCCAAGCCTGGTCCTCGGGCTACATTATGTGGCGTATGCCCTAGTCTTTTAAGGGCCAGGCCCCACAGAGCGGCCCTTTGCCAACCCTAAGTGATGTAATATAATGTTCAATTGAACGTAGATAACTATGGGTAGTATATAAGGAGAATTACAAAAACCTTCCTTGACTCAACTTCCACCCAACCAAAATTTTAATCA